CATGGGAACCAAGATGGCAACTGGCGTTACCGAGGATACCGGGTTCCATGATGTCCTCCGCAAAGTAATGCAACTTTTTTTCTATTTATCAATGATGACGTCATCGAAGTGCAAAAGTAGTGCAAGACCGTTCTCCTTTCCTTCAAGTACAACACCTAGATCCAACATAGTTCTCTCTCCTCACAGCTGATCTGCAGAGCGTCTCGGGAGCACCCTCATCACACGCTCTTCATCATCCTCGCCCTGGTGAACGCCAACAAGGACGAGAACTTTGGCAAGAGCCGACTGTCTAAGAGCGCTCCGCGGCAGGGTTCGCCGCTTGACCTCGTGAGACTTTCATTAGATCATTTTTCCCTCTATCATGTGAAAATAAAATAAACAAGATGAGTTGTATGAAGAAAAAAAAAGCTATTCATCATGTTTTTAGGGCTCGTAGTTTTTTTTTTTGTTTTTTTTTTTTGAAAATGTCTGGAAACACCATCGGTTCCGTTTCCTTATTGTGGTGCAGGAGCGCTCCAATGTGGCCCTGAGGATCATCGGCGAGCTCCGGAAAGAGAGAGGCGAGATGATCCGAGGGGTCGAGAAGCTGTGCGACGCCTACATCGCTCTGGCTTATATGGACGCCAGCAAGCACAAGGCGGAGAAGAGTGAGTCCTCCGAGCACAGCGACGCACACAAGCAGCGATTTAGGGGAAGCTGTCCCATTCCAACATTCATCCCATTTTTGTAACTATTTCGGAATTGGCTTTTAGTTTGCCATTTCTGTTTTGACATTGGCTCGGTTTTTCTCACTTCTTATTGTGTGTGTTACATATTATTAGTCATCCTTTCTTTTCTTTCCATTACAGAGCCTATTCCCATCCCTGCTGATCAGCCCATCACCCAAATCAAAAACCTGCATGAGGTTGCCATCCCAACAATGGAGATCAAGGTTAAACGTCACCAACCATTATGTTTAATATTTTATTTTTTTATGTGACGTAATTCCTGAAGACAGTCAAATATTTATGGATTTAGCAAGTTCCTATTACTAAGGCATGATGGGATTGATTTGATTAAATAAGATTAACCGGCTGGATTTCTTTTGCTGATAGTCTGGTTGAGAGTCACTTTTTAAAATGGATCTCGTGCTCTAAAAAAAGAAGAATTTCATGTGCACCTGAAACAAGACGTGTGATGTTAGACGACAGTACAGAACTCATCACTCCACGTTTAATAAAGGAGACATTTAGGAAAGTATATTTAAACAAGTGGGTTGTGTCATAACAAGTGTTGTTTCATTTCAAACTAGGTGGATCAGTCTTGTTGCTATGACGACCTGGTGACCATCAGGTCCTTCGTGCCACAGTACCACCTGGTTGGAGGAGTCAACCTGCCCAAAATCATCGACTGCGTCGGCTCTGACGGGACGACCAGGAGACAACTGGTCAAGGTCGGTGTGAGGAGAGTTACGCTACCACGAGTCGGCTGTGTGCGTGTTGCCGACTACACAAATCCCTGCCGTTTGAAGCTGAAGCTGCCGCCATGTGTGATTAAAGTCTGAACAGCCTTCACGGGGAACCTGATCACTTTTAACTCCAGTTATTTTCCATGACATTATATATGTTTTCATGTGTAATGATTAATCTGGTTTTGCACCAGGACAAACACAACGTTTGTTGTATTACTCTCACACCTTTTGTAACGAGGACATTGTGTGGGAGCTCGTGTTTGTGGTTACACTTGTCAGACACTTAAAGGCTAATAATTCACCTCTTGGACGCTTGGGAGAGTCATTGTGGCCGGAGCAGTCTTTGTCCGATCTTTACCTCAGTAAATCCTGCTTTTCCATCAAAGAGACTTTGTTCATTGTTCATGTCACTCAGAGAGAAATGTGTAATAATTCCATATCACATTGCCGAGTTTCTCTCCAGCCTTTCTTGTGTTTTTGAAGACCCAAGTGTTGACAGAAGGATTCCTTAGTTACCGCCGCCAAGCACAAAGCTGAGCGGTGGCTCTCCGTGCGGAGGACCACGGCCTCCAGTGACCTTTGCCCTCTCCTTGTGAACAGGGTCAGGACGACCTGCGGCAGGACGCTGTGATGCAGCAGGTCTTCAGCATGTGCTCCATGCTGCTGCAGCGCAACGCCGACACCCGCAAGAGGAAGCTCAACATCCGACGCTACAAGGTGATGCTCGTCGAAGGCTTTCTTTATCGCTCGGTCCTGTATTCGAAAGACCTGCTCACCACCTCCTTTCTTCTTCCTCCCAGGTGGTGCCGTTCTCGCAGCGTAGCGGCGTGTTGGAGTGGTGTTCGGGCACGGTGCCTATTGGAGAGTTTCTAGTGGACACCAACAAAGGAGCCCACAAACGCTTCAGACCCAAGGACCTGACCAACTTGGCCTGCCGCAAAAGGATGATGGTACTGCTCGGAGTATAGTCACCGCCTACGGCGCGGTTTGTTTCACATGAACCACAGATGTCCCAGTTGGCTGATCATCTTTTTCCTACTCTGTGTGTGAACGTGCGTCTGCAGGAGTGCCAGTCGTTCGATGAGAAGCTCCGGGGCTTCGGCGAGGTGTGCAAGAACTTCCGGCCGGTCTTCAGGTATTTCTGCATGGAGCGATTCCTGGACCCCGCGGTGTGGATGGAGAAGCGTCTGGCTTACACCCGCAGCGTGGCCACCTCTTCTATAGGTACATACAGTCCCCCGGGGCTCCATAACAGGTCGTCTTCAAAGGCGGCGTGCTATAAATAGTTATGTAACATATACGGACGGAACAAATCAATACTGTTAGTTTGATTATGACCAACAATGGTGGAGAGACTCCCTCACGGATTTGTGTGTCCACAGTTGGCTACATCGTCGGCCTGGGGGACAGACACATCAATAACATTCTGGTTGATGAGCAGACTGCTGAGCTGGTGCACATCGACTTGGGTGAGAATCACTGCGTACTGCGCCTGCTGAAATTCATGCAAAGAGAAGCCGCCTTGTGTGTCAGATGTGGACTGATTGCCATGAGATGCACACGGCTTTACTCTGGAAACCTTTAAATCGTAGATGTCGAACTTGGGAATAAATGTAACATACACACCAACACCTCTCTCTCTCTCTCTCTCTCTCTCTCTCTTATTGCTGTTGGTGTTCAGGTGTGGCCTTTGAGCAGGGGAAGATCCTCCCCACCCCCGAGACTGTCCCCTTCAGACTGTCTAGAGACATTGTGGACGGGATGGGCATCACTGGAGTGGAGGGGGTTTTCAGGAGGTGAGGGAGAAGGTCATCCTTCTTCTGATATCACCAAACATTCATTTAGGGAGTTTAATTTGTCATAAAACCTTTAGCGGATGAACACCACAACACTCGACATTGCTCCTGACTACTTTGCAAAACAATTTTTAAAAACCTTTCAAGACAGTTTGGTTAGTGGTGCCTTCAAGGACACTCTGATGAAATCAAATCATTTTTTTCCGGTTTAGATGTTGTGAGAAGACATTGGAGGTGATGAGGAGCTCTCAAGAAGCTCTGCTGACTATTGTCGAGGTAAGATCACTGGACACGCACACACTCTCAAATCACGTGCCACTTCTTTGTCGTCTTTTCAAGTATTGTGTGTGTGTGCGCGCTTGTGTTAATGTGCTGCACAGGTGCTGCTGTATGACCCTTTGTTCGACTGGACCATGAACCCGCTGAAGGCCTTCTACCTGCAGCACGACGAGCAGCAGGAGCTCAACGCTACGCTGGGCTCCACCATGGGGGGCGTTGACATGGACAGCCACCGTAAACCCAGGTGCCGCAGCGCGTGACGACAACTCTTTTAGAACGTTTCCATTCCGACTGCTTTCCCCCTCAAGTCTCGTTTTCGAGGCCTCTGCCTCACCGTCTCACCGCCGTGTGCTCTTCCTCCCGCAGCGACAGTCAAAGCTTCAACAAAGTGGCGGAGCGGGTGCTGCTGAGGCTGCAGGAGAAGCTGAAGGGGGTGGAGGAGGGAACGGTGCTCACCGTGGGGGGGCAGGTCAACCTGCTCATCCAACAAGCCATGGACCCCAAAAACCTCAGCAGACTCTTCCCGGGCTGGCAGGCCTGGGTGTAGACCGGAGAGGCGGGGAGACGGTCGCAGGTTGACTGTGAGACGGACGTTGTCTTTGCTTCATCTGGTCATCTGGATTGCGACAGATGTCCCCCCGCGAAAGATGATGCCCCGCGTGTTTATTGTTAAAGGATAAATATCCCCGCATAGCTTTTGTCTTCAGAAGTTATTTTTTTACTGTACAACAGCATTTCAATTTGGAAGATTTCATGCACTGATTCTTGCAAAACAAACCATATAATCACCTTTTTTATTGCAAATCGTGAGGGTAATTAAAAAGAGAGCAGTGAATTGTATCGCTGTAATGAGGGAAGGGAGGGAAGGTCAGTCTGATATTTAAAATGGATTTATTTGTTTTTTAGCCCGTGCGATATGAATGTTGTCATATTTTTGTTGCTCTCCACCATGACCACAGGCCTCATGAATGTATGATGACGCTGCTCCAGGAGGAGTTTGTTTCGGCTGACTCGTTTGCCAATTCATTTCTTTTACTATTAAATTACTCAATATTATGTGCTGTAAAGCTTAAAGACTACATTTAATGCATTCAGAAATGTACGATATGTTTGCAGTGTACTTTGTATTATGAACATTTTATGTAAAAAAAAAAAAAAAAAAACATAAAAAGATGCCATCTGTATCACTAAATAATAAACTGAATGACATCAAAAACAAAAACTATGATTTGTGTTAATTGTATTAAACCGACAGCACATTTGTATTTACTGGTATAACTGACCTTCAAATCAATCATTGACTCAGATATTGAGGCTTAATGTGTTGGCCCACATACGTTCGTGGACTGTAGTACCTGGGATGTTTAGTTTTAAAGTGGAGCCAGTGGGGAGCGGGGGGGGGGCACTGGGACGATCACACAGACTCGTCACTGTGATGTGAGGACTCAAGGGTGGAGCTTATCCTGCACCTTCAAAACACTTTGACAGTGGACACGGGCGTCTTTTTCTTCATAAATGTTTGATTGGAATATTGCAGGAGGACATTTTTCAGTTAAACAGAATGATCCAAAATCCGGTAAGTTTTTATTTGATTTGAAGTAGGTATTTAGTCCATTTCATACTACGCCAACACCTGTGATGAAAATAGTGAATAACATGAATAGGATTTTCTACTTAATAAGTTCTAAAATCTCACACCCACATTTGCGTTTTAGTCTTTTTTTCTTCCTTAATTCATGATTAGTTTTCCACTCCACTCTGTCGTCTCGTCACTTTACTGGCAGTACGTGGACTCGGGTCCTGGTTCCATCCGAGAAGATCAGTGGATGAACCTTTCTCCACTCAGCCGCTCAGATGTGAAGCCTCAGTTTGTTCATCGCGTGGCCTTGAAACCTCCACCTGAGATCGGCCCCACGCGCAAAAGTAAGCTGGTCTCTGGTCCAATATTCTTAGAGCGATTCTAAAGCAGGAGATTTGTGCAGGATTTGCCAAGGAATAAAAACAACATATTTTATGCATTTTTATTTTGATGTTTGCTGTTAATACCAAATACCAAAAACTACATCTATAAATTGTATTGAACTGTCAAAATTGCGTGTGTCGAGGTATAGACTAAATGGGGTCATGGCTCATTTATTATTAATTATGAAAGGCATCGTTCTGTTGTGTATTAAACTGTGACTGTCAGCTTAATGCAGTGTTTTATTTACAGATTTCTTGGTACAGTTTTGGAACATTGAGATTAAACTTGAGCTTGAACATTGAGATTGAGACTCACAGTGTGTGTGTGTGTGTGTGTGTGTGTGTGTGTGTGTGTCGTCCTATCAGGTGTAAAACAGAGGTGTGTGAGGACCACCGTGGTGGCTGTGATCTGCCTGCTGCTCCTCCTGCTGGTGGCCGGGGTCCTCCTCGCTTATTACCGTGAGTAATCCCCACGGGGGTCTGCCGACGTGGGCTCACGTGCCGGCTGGCGGCCTGTTGCCGGGCGGGGAGAGGGGATCTGATTCTCGTCCGTTGTCGCCCTCAGTGTCCTCGTCCTGTGTGCACGGGATGCGGTGTGCCGACGGGAGCTGTGTGTGGAGGTCCCAGTGGTGTGACGGGGTGACGGACTGTCCTGCAGGCCGGGATGAAGCCGACTGCGGTAAAAAGAGAAGCTCCAGGGGCCAAACATCTGTTCATCGCCTCTATACTCATGAAAAGGAACACCTTAATGTTGTTCTTGCCTTTGCAGTTAAAGATCTGTGCATGTTAACATCCTATCAACACACTGCTGTTCACTCTGCTCCACGGAGCAAAGAGAGCCGTGCTGTTAACGCTCTGTGGTCCGTTACGTTACCTGATTGTGGTCACCTGCTTCCCAACTGCTTGTGCTCAGTGAGGCTGCACGGCTCCGGCTTCCTGCTGCAGATCTACTCCACCCAGAGTGGAACCTGGAGGACGGTTTGTTCACATGGCTGGACCGAGCGGCAGGGGAGGGCCAGCTGCCGGCAGGTCGGCTACAGCAGGTGAGATGCTCCTTCGGCGGTTCCTCTCTGCGGTCCGACGTGTGAAGGGTTTGTGTGGAACTGAAGACGCTGTGTGATATTCGACAGCGGCACGTATTTTAAATCGGGCCAACAGACGGCTGATTCGGGGGACGGCTACTTGATGGCTAAGCCTGACTTTGACCCCGAGGCCTCCATCCTGCAGCAGCTGGTGCTCAGGTTGGTGTACTGGTGGAGGTGAACGTGTGGAAATGTGTTAAGGCTCGATTAATATGGACCTAAACACACCTTTTTTTCTTTTGCCTTCCGCAGCAATACCTGTCCCAACAACAGTGCAGTGACGTTGCGTTGTACCGGTGTGTTATTAGCATGAAGCATATGGAGGGGATTAATGATTTGTTGGGCTCTTCAGCTGTTTGAAGTGTTCGAATAATGACTTTTATTCAAGATACGGTTTATTTGTTTCAATTATCAATAAAAGATTGTTGTGCAATGAGTTCAAAGAGGCCGCACCACTGTACACCTGCACACATGACACGACTAGAATGATATGATTCATACGCTCCCAGTTCACTCTTCTGCATGTTTGCTCTCCTTCACAGTTTTTCTTTCCGCTGCTTTTATCTGCACCGATTACAAACAATGGAGGCTCCCTTTGTAACCGCGTCCTCCCTGACAGACCTTTGTTGCCTCTAGATTGTGGGCGCAGGGTGAACTCCAGCAGGGCCCCCGGGGGGGGCCAGTCACCCCCGCCGGGGGCTGCCTGGCCGTGGCAGGTCAGCCTGCAGGCTTCTGGCTCCCACCGCTGTGGAGGAGCCGTCATTGCCCCCTACTGGGTAGTGACCGCGGCGCACTGTGTGGCCAGGTGAGGCCTTTTCATCGCACTTCTTCAATGAGCATTTATGGCCTGTTCCGTCTTATTCCCCCCCCCCACCCCCCCCGGCCCCCTGCTGTGTCTCCCCCCTGCAGGGACTCGAACCCTGCCGACTGGGCGCTGTACGCCGGGATGGTGGAGCCACTGGACACGCTGTTCAACCCTGCGTACCGCGTGAGCAGGGTCATAGCCCACGAAGGCTTCGACTGGGTCACTCGCAGGAATGACATCGCCCTGATGAAGCTCTCTGAACATCTGGACTTCACAGGTGTTTAACGGCACATTCACATACACAACGATGCAAAGCAATTATTGTGCTCAGTTTTAGAACCGGTCAATTTTGAGGATGCAGTCATACTGTGAAGGGTTTCTGTTATTTTTATCAGAAGGGGAATCCTCTGAAGCCGGTTGGCGACTGACAACAGACTGACTATTCTCTCATCTGGCAGCATCCAGTAATATCAGACCTGTGTGCCTCCCAAATGTCGGCGTCAGCATCAGTGCTCCTCAGAGAGGCTGGATCACCCAATTCAACCGCACGCTGTATGGAGGTGAGACAGTTACTGTTGCGCCTGGTTTTGTGTTGCGACAAGACTTTTGAAAGATATTAGAAGTTTACCAAAATCACATATTGACTCTAGAAGTGTTTAGAGATTAAAGCAACAGTGTTGCCTGTTATATTGTCTACCACTGGATGGCAACAGAGTACAGAACGTTGTCATACCGACTCAAAGGTGATTAAAAGTAACTACTCTGATTTATTATAAGTTACTGTACTGTGTAGAAATACTCCCTAACAAGTACTGCATTCTCATGTTTTTATGGACCAAAAGTAAACAAGCTCATTGTGCCTGATGGAATATTTCTCAATGTTTATTATTGAATTGTACCTATTGTTACATTTTAGTGACTTTACACACTCCTTTCAGAAATTAGGTTAAATATTAGATAAATAAAAAAATGAAATCTTTTTTCTTAATATCAAATTGTGCAAATTAGTACGTTGTTACTTTCCACTTAATACCTTACCACATAAAATGTGTATGAACTGCCTTTTTTTTTTTTTTTTTTTTGCCGTCTTGTTATTTCGTCCAGACTCTGGCTCCCTCCACCTGACGGAGGCTCGCGTCTCCCTCATAAGCACCGCGGACTGCAACAGCTCGCTGGCGGACCAGGGCGGGATATCACGGGACATGTTGTGCGCCAGAGAGACGCAGGCGGTGGCCAACATGTGCCGTGTAAGACAAACCGCTCATTGAATGAAATGCCGAGGGCAACGTTAACCAAAGCGTTTGTTTTTAATAATGAAGAGACGGCGATATTAGAACATGTCAGAATTATTTTTATTTTGCAGCAGACGGCTGCAGTGTGACTGCCCCTCGGGCTCAACATGTCTAGATACGATCCTATCGAACAATGCGCGAGTTCACGCAAGCAGCAACAGACGCGCTTTATGAGACGTTTTCTGGTGCAAATTGAGCAGTTCCTGCACTTTAAAAAAGCCTTTTCATGCTCCCATGCAACTCGCTCCGAGGCCTCGTCCAACAAGAGCCGCATTATGTTCTGTACACGATAAAAAGCTTTAGATAAACAGTTCCACTGTGTGACTTACGACAAACCACTCATACAGCGTAAAGTCGGATCCCCGAGGTGGCAGCTGACCATGACGTCACGATTTATTCGGGGCCCTCACACATCCTCGAAAGACCTTCAATTTGTGTCGACCGTTACACGCATGTGGTTCATACAAGCGTGCGTCTATCAGGCGGACAGCGGCGGCCCTCTGGTGTCCCTGCAGGACGGAGCCTGGTGGCTCGTAGGAGACCGTGTCCGGGGGGGGCGCTGCACGGAGCACAACAAACCAGGAGTTTACGGCAACGTCACCTACTTCCTGGACTGGATCCACCATCAGATGAGGGTAAAAAACAAAAGAAAAAAAAAAGATTTGGACTTGCGGAGGCAGTTAAACAGAATCAGGTTGTAATTAACGCGGAGGGATTTCCATGTGCCGTTTGGAGCATTCGGTGTAATCTGCTTGGAAGACCAGATGCAGTAAGACGCTTTATCTGTCTGGTGCCGCAAGTAATACCGGCTGACTCCTGCTGGGAGTAAAGTGATGAAACTTACACAGCGGAGCTTTAACATAAGCTGAGATTTTTGTAGCGGGCCGAGCAATTAAACCCAATTACGGCCGTTGAGTCATTAAACAACAAAACCTGTTTTTCTTTTACAGAAGCATCGAGATGACTGAGGAGGAAAGGACCGAAGATGAAGCATCTAACATGTTGTTTCAGATTCTCTGTGTTTTCTACATAATATTACGGTTCTTTTTTCGATGGCTCAAATTCACAGAAGAATCAATAATCTTTAAGAATTATCTCATAACGGTTTGTGTTTTTCCATGTATTTGTCATTAAAGCCTTTGTAAATATGGTTTACAGTTTAATTTAGTTTAATTTGTTTTAGAGTAACCTTTCACAAAAACACCTTTATTCATTTCAAATGATTAACATCTTTGATTTGGTACCAAGTTATTTTATTTACAACACGGTTGTGGCACAGAAGGAAATGCACTTTTAAATAAGTGACATCCAAAGTTTCAAGTGTATCTTTAATTAACTTTTTGGCAGAGTGACACATTTGTGCAGCTTAAAACAGCGACGCTCTGTACGATGAGACAGTAACAGAAGGCTTGGCAACGTTAAGTGGCCCACAAGAAGACCAACACTAATGAGCGTGTGCATCTAACGGGTCAGTTTCAAAATAGTTGGTACATGTGTGAAGTACGCATTATAAATATGTACCCTTGAAGATCTGGTGTCTAAAATGCAAACATTTGGAATAATACAAATCACATCAAAGATAATTAAATTCAAACTTAGACATATACAATTAGTAAGATTAGATTAATACAACAAATTGCATAAAAGATTGAGAAATATTGATCTTGGGATTTATGATACACCTTTGATTGACATAAGACACAAAGTGCAATTCAGCAGTGAGCCTCAAAGTGCTGATAGTGTGTATTATTTAGTGTTAGCAGAGAGCTGAGACTTCAGGGGCACTACAGGCACCGTAAACACGCTGAACCTCTGGCAAGATTCTCCTTTTAACAGCGATTGTTAAAGCAGCTTTCCCTATCGACCTACACAGGCATCAGGTTCCCTCCATCGAGGTCTGGAGGTAAACGTAAAAATATAAAGAAGGCAGAAACAGTCACTTGCTGATTACAGTTTGGAAAAAATAAAACCAGACTGTCCTGATGTTGTTGAGGTTTACGTCCTCCCCACCTGCTGACCCGCGATGGTCTGGTAGGAAGAGTCCACCATTAGCTCTTATGCTACCCTCATACATCAGTGCCAACAGCACGCAACCCTTTAGATAAACCGTGGAGGGTTGTGTGCCGTTGCTGTTGGCGACCGTAAACACAGTTCGGTTTTCCTGTCAAGAGATGTTTGATCGCTCTGTGTCGATGTCCGTGGACCAAGCCTTTGAGTGCACACTGGAGTCGCTCAGACACTCGGAGGCGCGGGCCGTCGTTTGGTGCAGGCCGGGCCCCGCCCCTTTCTGCGCCGCCGCGGGTGGACTCCGCTCGCCGCTTGCCGCCGCCGCCCCTCCTCTTCCCCTCAGTCACTTGATGCGGTGGCGGACCAGGGAGGACTCGTCGGTGATCTCCCCGGAGCGGTTCCTGCGGCAGGGCAGGACCAGCAGGAGCAGCAGCATGATGAGGACCACGGCGCAGACCGCCATCAGGGCGTAGGAGATCACCCACATGAAGGGCTCCTTCGGCGGGGCCCAAGAGCAGTTGGCCGCCACGTCTGCTGCCGAGAAGGGCCCCGCGACCTCTGAAAGGGCCTCGCCACCGCTCACTGCAGGGATACAGGACACGCACGTCTCACTGCTGACACGCAAGCAAAAAGCTGAATATAAATGGACTGGAAAATCTATTATCTACTGATTATATCATAGAACTGATAACCAGCTCGAAAAACGAATTTTTGAGCCTTCTAAAAAAAAAAAAAAAAAAAACACCTACATTTTGTATATTCTGCTCAGGCAACTTGAAATCAACGCATCTCAAACATGTTAATATACAGTATATAAAAATTCATTAACATGTACTACTACTACTGCTAAATAAAAGTCATATCTAAAAACCTATAGATTAAAACAGCATCATTGAAGCATTTTGAGATTAATTCTTTTATACATGGCCAAGTCATTGATGGATGACGATAAGAAAAGTTCCGTTTAGCTTTAACCAGCCAGAGATTAGAGTTGCCAACCCTGCTGTCACAAGCTCGCATTTTCTACATCCGCTAAGTCTGTTAGCTTAAAACGGAACAAAGGTGATCTTTGTACTACAAGATGCGAGTTGGAGGCCCGGCCCACTGTTGGTGGGGACAGGGACGTCCCACTATTAAACTATAAAAGGATCCGCTCCTGATGACCACAATATCCTTTGGGTTTTGGTCAGTGAACACTAGAAGTGATGTTTAATATCATATAGAATATTATTTTGTACTTTATTATCTGCTTTTCCATCAGTTCTCAGTCAATAGAGGCAGACCTCTGGACAATGATTCTATTCTATGAGCACGTAGATATGAGTTGAGATACGAGTAGTTGCTCTGATTTTACCTAGAATGTTCCAATACACAATGGGATACGTTAAACACCCTTTTTAAAAAAAATGTTTTAGTGAAAATCGCCCTCACCTGCACAGCTGCTGAGGGCGAAGCCGAGTCTCCGCTGGGCGCGGTCGAACACCACGTAGAAGCCTTCCATTACAGTGGCGCCGATGACCAGGCCGTTCGCTGACGAAGACAGTCCAAAGCGGAAGCAGTCCAGCGTTCCGTCGACGTCTGTGATCGGCTGAATGTACAGCTGTGACGCGGCGGACAGATTAAGAGGTCGAAGAGGACCGATGAGTGAGAGAGTCTCTCAGTGTGGATGCAGCGGAGGCGGCTACTTGTGTTTATCGGATACCTTCGGCAGGATGGTGATGCGGAAGGACTGGCTGGTGTTCGTGGCCCTGAGGTAGATGGACAGCTTGGGGAAAAACCTCCAGGGGGTCTCTCCCTTCATCCAACACGCGAGCTTGCTGCCATCCCAGAACCCCGACGAAAAGTCCTGGATCTGACCCGAGTAGAATCAAAGAGAAATAGACAAAGGGCGACAAAAACACACAGGGTCAGACGGTCAGTGCAGCATCGAAAGAGGTTTTCTTTTCCTCACTTGGGCTTAATCTGCAAGGATGTGGGTACATTCATTTAGAGTGTTGCTTCAGGTTCAAACTCCCTCCCCTGACAACATGTTTCATCCCTGTCTGCAGGAGGGGGGGCGGCAGCTTACCAGAGAGCTGCGCGTGATGGCTTCCACCACCGCGTTGAAGACGTTTACGGGAAGACGCAGCAACGTCGTCCCGCTGTCAACAATCGCTTTGTCCATGTTGTACTGAAGGAAAATGAGAGAGTGAAGTGCAGTGGTGTTATTCTAAATTCAACAGCAAAACTAGAGAATGGAAAACAAGGAAGCTCTTGAGTTCATTCCGCTGCAACTCAAAGTCAAGGCTCACTTCCTTGTTGTAACCGTGATACAATCAACTCAGAACAGTTTATTTAAAAAAGCGAGCATGTCATCGGTTTCCAACTTATTGCCTTTCTGCTTCAGACACAAGATGCAGCTTAGCTTGACGCGTACCTCTCTGCAGTCCAGGTCCAGATTCTGGTCCCCAACCTCCAGCTTCAAAACCTCCACCTGGAAGTACCACTCTTCTACGATAGGTGTGTACCATACGGATCCCTGATACAGAGTTGGTTCAATCCCTCCCATGATCTAAGGAAGGAAAAAAAGGTACTTCAGTCACTTCTAGGTCAAAACACAAACGGTGAGAGAGGCACACGGGGCGTTTGCATAACAGCGACAGACCAGCTCTCAGCAGGATGCTATTTTAGCTCAATTGGCTCCACTCTAAGCAGCCGGGCCTCCAGCGGAGAACCCACATTCAGTGTGTTTACATGATGGTATAATTCTAATCTTTGCTTAGTCGGACTATGCTCTCTTTCGGGGGGAGGTGCTATTATCCCAATATACATGGCAGTGAATAAATCGAATCATTGGCCGAAAGCATGTCATATCCGATACGATAGGTGGCGCTGTTTTCATTACAACTAGTTGTGATACAGCCATTTCCGCTTGACCGCTTCACCACTACCAACAACAACCAACAACAATAACAACATCAACATTACGAGAAAATTGGCGAACGGAGAGCAAGGTCTTTTTGCATGATGTTAATAGGAGCACAGCGAATGGCGCTATTGGCTGATTTGATAACGGAGAGAAGACGCCGTCGGGATCTCCAAAGTCCAGTTCCTTATCCGATTCACCGTTACATGCCGCAATAGTCGAACTATCAACTGGATCGGCTCGAGTTATCCAGGGGTGTTAGTCGGATCGTAGTCGGACCGCACATAATAATTCGATTTCAGTCCGACTAAGCCAGTTATTCGAATCCATGTAACCATGCTGATTGACAAGGAGGATACCAGCTATTCGCTTCCCAAACTGCACTTGGCTGCTACATCTGATCCACCAGTGAAAGTTGAGTGCTCAGCCACATCCTGGTCCTCTGTGAGTGAAGCACATAATGGACACAGACACCAACTGCATTGAAACATTTAGAGGCATGTCGCTAAACCGAAGACTGCTTAGGTCAAATGTCTCTTCCAAGCAAACCTTTTTGAGCAAGTGCTTCTGATCACACTCGGCCCCTCCTGACTACTCACGAGGCTGCCTCCAGGGGGGTCCGCCGTGCTGCTGGCGGAAATTCCAGCACCGCACATCTGGAGGGAGAAGATGTCAGGAATTCCCAGCTGTTGCACCAAAGAGTTGAAGAAGGGAACCACGGACGAGTCCGGCTGATCGAGAGACAGAAGATGAGTCATCGTTAGCGTACAATCATCCAGGCTGACTTAGAGTATGTTGAATACACATAAGTTAATTAAGTCTGGGCGAGAAAAACAAAAAACTTGTGTGAATTAAAGAAATACGCAACTGATCTTAAAACAATTATCTAGACATCCGAACGTGATTATATGGGGGAAACAAAGTATTTAGGAAACAATAAAAAAACACTGAGCCACTAGTTTACAAGAATCAAAAAGTTTCTATCATATATAAAAAGACAGGGACACGACTCGCTTCCTCTCCGGTGAGATCGGAGACAATTTTCTTGTCCTCATTAGGTAGTCTTACACAACTTTAGTCCAGGAGTTGTGCCCCTTGACTAAAGGACGCTTTCTCTCCTGTCAGATGGGTTTTCATCTCAGCGCTGCGTTTCGATGTCACGCATGACAAAACAGGCCTCAGGCAAGTGGACTCAGCAGCACAAAGTAGTCAGTGTTCACGTATCGGTCCCTTAATCGCTTTCATCCCAATAGTTGCCGCAGTCGGCACAGTGAATGAAAGTGAAAAAATATCATGCAGGTTATGAAATGAGGATTATACGCAGCCACAATGTGTGATTTGAGAGAATAACGGTTTTAGCACTTTGTTTGAGGGGAGACCCAGTCTCAGGCTCTACACCTCAGGGTTATACGGTGTCCTGTAAATTCATTCAATTGACGGGAAAAAAGCCAAGCAATCTGAGGACGTGCCTCTTCTTTAAAAACAAAACAAAACAAAAACATTTTTTTCCCCTTCAGATTATCACTTTTTATCTAATGAAATGAATGTTGCAAGTCTGTTCATTAACCTATGACATGGTTAATTCATTGATCTGGGGTAATGCCTTGGAGGTTCTTTTTGTTTTAATCAAGCAAAAGCACCCCCCCCCCCCTTGCTGCTGAAAATAAATCACAAGCGTGAAATGTTTCTGCTGTCATGTGAAATGTGCATGACTACACCCGGATGAGATCTGAAAATGATTTAATGCTGTGACATGCACGACAGCAGGAAGTCCCCTAGTACGGCTTGATTAACTTGACAAAAACAGATTTATTTTTTGCTATCATTCCATGACGTTTATATAAAAGAAACACCATATATTTTCGGTTAATATGAATCACTTTCAGTTCTTTTGCAGCAAAGAATGGCAAAGAATACCTCAACATTGCAGCACATAACGCTGACCTGAAAAAAAAAAACTCACAGTGATGCAACCAGTCAGGCTGCAGCAGTATGGATTTATGTCCATACAAATAAACTAATGCAAGGGTATTTTGGGGCAAAAGTATTCACAATACTGACATGCATGATACCAGTGACTAACTTCCTCTGAGAAGTGCTATCTTCACTTAGAGACTATTGTTATGGAGGAGTACAGAGGACCAATAGAGAGCATCATCACATGGTGCAACAGCAACCACCTGAAGCTCAACCAGCAAAACCAAGGAGCTTGTGGTGGAAGAGGAACAGGAAAACCCCTGTCCTGCTTGTCATGCAGGGGGAGGAAGTCAAGAGGGTGGCCTCATACAACTACCATTTCTCTCAGGAAAGATCATATGCATGTTTAAAAAAACATGGCCGACTTAAAACTATCATCTCAACAAGTATGGTTTAAAACTGAAGAGCTTCTCTCTCTCTCACCCTTGCCAGCATGGGGTAGGCCAGTCCCAGGATGCCCTGCCAGTTGACCCCTGGAAGGAAGAAGCCCTCAGAGGACAGGATGGCAGCGATGTTGATGGTGGCGGTTCCATTTGGGCCATTGGGAATGGAGACACGGTCAGTGCCCAGTTCCCCTTCCCAGTTGCCCTGAGTGTACCTGACAGCCACGGTCCGGCCAGAAGACTGGTAGGTACCGGAGCTAAACACGGGGGGAGAAGGAGGAGAGGAAGGGCTAATAGTTAGAAAGGCCTGTGGCAGGTAGATCAAAAGCTCAAGTTGGGCGCCAATTTACTACGGCAATAATAAAAAGATGCCAGTCAGAGAGACGTTACATTGCAGAGATCATGTCATTCATTAATATTGGTATGATGTTTCCAAGAGTGTGTGTGTGGGACTTGGGAATTGGGGAATACCCATACAAAAATGTATATTTTAAAATAAGTTATCTTGCATGTTTTAGCAAAAGTATGGCCCTTAATATGCAGTGTACACATAATTGACCAACATCTCATAAATAGGACTAAAATCATCCTATGGATGCACAGTGCATTATTCCATCACACACTACAGCCAACACTAGTGCACTGTCTGAGTCTAAGCACTGCACGCTTTTAAATAGTATTGATTATATTTCTGGATCGAATTGATTTCATTCAGACGGTAACATTAAACAAAATGCAGTTCATAACTTCACGTTTGCACGGCCAAACAGTTGGCTCTAATTACAATACCGCCGAGGAGATAATCCCTATATTTCTGCGTCTGTTCTTATTATTCCCACTATGAATATTGACAACATTTTGCAGGTCACACAAGGAGTCCCAACCACTCACAGCGCAGCGTCGAAGTAGTGAGTAATAAACGGGTGTGGAGCTGCAGCCACGGCAAAGTTACTGCTTCCTGTATCCACCAGGATGTTCACCTGAAATACACAAGGGAGAGTTTCTTCTAACAATTGCAGATATTTGTTTCAGGCCAATCTCACACACACACACACGTTTTTTTTCCGGACTTTTAGAATGCCGCTGAGGCATTAAAGTTTCGGTTATTGTATAAATAAGAGCAATTAGAAGAGGAAAAAGATTAGCAGAGGACGTTGAGGGAGAACAGCAAGAAAAGCTAAATATAATAAAATAAAAACCAAACATTATAACGTATTTGGAAATAGTGAAGAGAGGTAGGTAGGTTGAGTTCAAAAAGAGGTACTTCAATACTTGTTGTCATATATGTGACTGATTGGATCATGGAAAATTAAAGCAACCCAATGTGTTTTTTTTCCGATGCTGTTGAGTGTTGAATGTTTCAGTCAGTGTTTTGTGGCAGCGGATTAGTTTGGAATTTCACAAATACTTGAAGAGCGCAGTTTACAGCTGTATTTGATTGCTTAGTACATACACATCACTACGGTACTGGCCATTAACAGAAATGTCATATTAACGTTAATTAATACTAATATTCAATAGAACCAGACTGCGGAATTTGCCAAATCCGAGAGACACACAGTCATTGTTGCAGTTTGTGTTTGAATATACATAAAGGTGTGATCTATGGGACACTGCCTCCAGTTCCTCACATGACTGCACGACCTATCCGGGCGTCCCGATGTGTGTTTTCGTGCCCCGTGGCGGAGTCCAGCTAGCAGCGGCTGACATAATCTCCTCTTCCAGGCATCAAGTCAACGACCAGGACCTAATTAGCTTGCAGACTTCTGTCACCTCCATCAAGGAGTGGTGGCCACATCAACGCTCACCAGCAAGCACATCTCACCATGACGGGGTCATGAGGCCGATGCCCAAACACAAAGAGGTCTATACAGTAGCTTCTCAGTGATGTCACAAGACACAGTCAATGAAAAATATGGATTACACAAGAATTTAGCATGCTGGGGAAGAGTTGGCACGCGGAAGAGTCGGCACAGGCGCCTCAGGTTGCCTGCCTTTGTTTTGGAAAGACCAGAGCAGAAGGAAGTGTTTTTGTTTTTTTAAGTAAATGTTTGACAGCCGAGGAGAAAGGATTTCAAACAATTGCGTGAAGAAATCCACTTCCTCAAGCCTAATCACACCTAGACCGTGTCTAACTGGAGCATGGTCATCATTATCACGCATGTTTCCTCAGACACTAAAAGTATTACAAACGACATTTTAACATCCCACAATCCTCCATATTTGTGAAGAAGAACAAGGAGCCATTTTTATTGCCAAGTATTATGTTGCACATACAGGAAATTGTTGTCTGCATTAACCCGTTCCACACAGTGGGAGCAGTGGGCTGCCGTAAAGGTCCACTCTACTCCATGCAAGTCATTATGAAACAGACGTTATCAACCTGTTCAGTCGGGCACAGGAAGCCCCGGTTGGCCCGTCCGCTGGGAGTCAGGCTTATCAGTTCCTCCTCATTGGAGAAGGTCCCATCACTGTGGCTGCACCTTCTAAAAACACCCGCTGCCCGCGTGCAGATGGCATCAGCTCGGCCGCACAAGGCCGGAACCGGCCAAACCGGCCAGATTGGAGAATACGGCAATCTTTGTGGGGTGAGGGAGGGTGTTTCCTTGTTCCCACAGTGTGTATCTTTCCTGCTCACACGATCCTCCCCCGGCTCAGCTGCTCAGCCCCGGGCGAACCTCCACCCCTGCCGCGGCGGTGGCAGCGGCGGGCTGAAGCTGAGCGCTCGCTGTCTAATTGGCAGTGACTCCACGGCGGCGATGTGCATCTGCTACCTGTTTGTACCAATTAGCAGATGTGAGGCTCTGCGGCCGACACCTCGGCCTGGCTGCGCCGCACGCCAACAGATGTGGCACATCACTGGCTCATTTCAATAAGAGCCCCATTTAACGCCGCAGCCCTGTAATCACATCATTATCGAGTTGGAATCATATCGATGGTACGACTCAACCGTGTCGAGTTACAGGACGTTTCGGGCGAACCGCGTCGCCACCTCGACCAACGCTGGCTCGACAAATTGATATGATGGGTTCGCCATTAATAAAAACACAAGGCGCACGAGTAGAATCTGCAGTATCAGAGCAGGAAAATAAACCACGAGGTGGAACCGATTTTACTTCCTCGGGGCTGTGCGGAGAGCCAGTCACATGACACCTCGGTCACAGATTTAATTCTGTGATGTCGCCGCAGGAAACAGGCGGGCGGAACTGACGCGGTTTCAGGTCATCGTGTTGGCTGGCTCGCTAGAATCCACAGACTGTAAAGCCCTCTGAGGCAAATTTGTATGAAATAAAATGAATTGAAAAGGTACTGAGCCAGTGTTGGTGTAGTAGTAGAGTAGAATTGTGACAATGAAGTAGTCTGATGATAATGTTTTAAAATCAGTTGTAATCCATTTCAGTCATGGGGTTGTACCGAATGATTGATTACTGATGAGGAAACACGCCCGTGCCTGGTGGAAGGGAACGCATAGCTTAGTGTACTAGTTGCTCTCTGTGCAGGTCGAGGATGTTGCACAGCAATAACAGCGCTAACCCTAAACAAAAAGTACATGGTTTGTGGAAACCGGTTTGTGGTAGTGCACTACCCTCTCACAGGTGGACACGGGGCGGCGACATGGCAGGCAGCCCCGATAAGCCCCTGTGAGCCAGAGGATCTGAGCTGTGCACACCCAGGAGTGTCACAATCTCTGATCTGTTTAACTTGATATGCCCAGGAACAACAGGTCAAGTCCCTAATGAGATAATTCACCTTCGGATTAAGCTCCATTTCAAACCCATCGTCTTACAGACGCAGCGGCAGAGCCCCGGCCTTAAACCTACAACACCCCGATGGCTCATGTATTTTTAAACAGTGACTGGAGAGTTGGGCAATTTAGTTTCACTTAATCATTAACATGATCGCGTTAGGCACTTTGCATAACAAGCAGTATTAAAAACGACACGTTGCGCACACACACACACACACACACACAGGCCTACTTCCGTGCAACCAAAAGAAACGAAGCAGCAAATGTACCTGCAGGGCTGGTGGTGCTCTGTGCTCCCGGGGAGCCTCATAATCCCCATCAGCTGCTCGGTGAGGGAGAGAGTGGTCCTCCCAGGCAGCATCATGTGAGTGCATGTGAGAGGGGCTTTAGTCCACCTTCAGACCCAAAGGAAGCTAAAGCCCCCCCCCCCCCCCACACACAGCCGGGCTTATGTTAAAAGCACAAATATGCCCTCATCTCCCCTACGCCAAAGTCATTCTCTTTTCTCCTATGAAACTATCATCATGGTTATGGAAATATTAAATACTGCACGAGTAGTTGGATCACATTGTGCAAACACACACACACTCAAAAAGGCACACACGGTTTAGTGAGTAGAACACATGACCATGAGTAATCACAATGAGAGTTGGTAGGTGGATCAAATACAAAAGGGGTACATTTAGTTTTTTTTTCTAATCAAAGCGAAAATAAAAACCGCCTGTGCAAAAAAAAACGTGTCAATAAAAAAACCCATCAAATTAACAAATAAAAGAGTTTGTGAAGTCGTTACCTTCTGACCAGGTGTACCGATGGACATTTCTATGTAGTAGCCTCTTCCATAGTCCCCTTGCAAGTTATTCACCATGTCCAGAAAGTTGACGGCGCCGCTCGGGTCCGAGGCCAGGGAGAGGCCGTCTCCATCAGCCGTTAGCACCACCCGCCGGGTCACGCCGACGTCCGAGGAGACGTTGTAGCTCCCGGTGGATATCTTCAGCGGCACGGCAAAGTAGCACTGCGACACGCCGAGGAACACGCTGAAAATGAAAGCACGCGTGGAGACGGCGGCGGCGGCGGCGCGGGCCATGGCGGTGGCTCGCGTCTGACGTCGGTTGACTTTAAGCGGCGGTCTTGACCGTTGAAAAGACGCGTAAGAGTCACTGGCTCGAAGTTTGCTCCCTGAAAGTTTTCAGTTCGGCCACCATGGAAACGCCTCCGCGGCGGTAACGGACATGCCGGACACGCTCCTCCTCGCCGCCGTCAGGAAGGAGTCAAACGCGCACACATGCTCGCACGGTAAGACGGGGGGATATAATAACTTTTACTGTGCAGGTCGAGCTCCGACTCCGAGATGTTTCGGGATCATATCGGCGAAAGTTTGCGAACTGTATCAAGCTAGCAGCAACAGAAGACGTGACTTCCGGCTGTGTTAAATTTCAAACTAAAGTAGCCCGGCGGTTTTTACGGCTACCCGAAAAATATGACAAATAAACAATAAATGCGTCCCTTCTATGTTACCTCAACATTTTGCATTCAATCTAAGATGCTTCATTTTTGTATTGTGTCACGTAGCCAGCTATCCGTTTTGTGCTTTTATTTTGAATTCAAACTGGTTTGAACAGTCCGTCTTATTTCTACCGGCTTGGTGCTGCTGTTTTCAACACTTCCTGGCTGCGAGGTGACAGATTATATCCCCTCAGCGGGTCGAAACTACATTTCTCTACCCCTTGAATTGACGTGAACTCGCCGAACAGGTTGTTTTTATCACTTGAGCAGCGTGTCTCCTCTTATAACAGTGTCACCGGAATTAGACATATAGTTTCGCTTAATGTGTCCTCATTTACATCGACAGTCAGATTCTCCATCCTTTGCACACAGCCCTTGGTTGTCTTGTTATGGTTAAGGCTATTTTAAATGTGTTCAGTCACAGAAAAGGAAACGTCTTCATGCTCATTCTACACCAGAGGCTTAATGTAACAATGAACCTCAGTTAATACATCTTTCAAATTCAGTTTAAATGCTGTGAATATTTAAAAACAGCCCGGTATTTCATCTCTAACTGTGTTGTACAATACAGGTGTTAATGCAATACTACAATTCATATATCAACTTGTGCATATTTTTGATGAATAGGTGCTCTTTTCTTCTTCTTCTTCTGTTACGCTTTTTGTGTTTTGGAACTTTCAAGACAATGCGAAGCCATGCAAATTAAAGTCAAATGAGATTTCAGATAAACCCATTACGATGATATTTACAGTTAAGTCTGCTGAAGCCCATTCAGTCACATTGCTGTTCCTGTTCCTTTTAAAGTCTCAAAAAGCTCAGTTAACTTCACAAACTGACGTGAGCTAACATGCACAGTTCAATTATTAAGAAAAAACAGATGCAGCAGGGTTTTAAAGCCCACAATTTACTGTCCCGACCCGACCAATAAAATTGTTACTTTAATTAGTCCCTTAGTTCACAAACAATTAAGTAGCCAAAAATAATGCCAACGGAAATCACGTGAATTTTCTCCACTGCTTCTTTAGTTTACTGCATACCCAAACAACAACTTCTTGTCCGTAATACCTGCTCTTGTTTAGATATTGGGGTATTTCCTGCATTTGATTTTCTAAATGAATAACTCATTTTTCTATTTTTTTTTGTCTCATTTGCTGCATTAACAGAGAAAAGATCCCAGTGGAAAGGCAAGATCAATGTCACAGGCCTTCTCCACGCTGCCTGTTTCACACACAGACAACCACTGTCTCACTCAGAATTCCTCATGAGCCCACAGCCATACGCTGTCACATGTTGCCCTCATCCCCATCTCTGTTTCACTCCTTCATTGAAGTTATAGAATCCCGATAGTTACAATAACCTCAGTAATATGGGGAAAGAATGTGACCGCAAAACATAATCTTTTCAGTGTTCTGGTTGTCATGCACTTGGTCTTGTGAATGACCCATTTAAGCACCGTTCTTGTTTCTTCCTCCCTGTGAGATTTTTCCTTAGCCTGAGAGTATAAAAACAGTGTGAAGCAGGAATGCGGTGCTTACTTGTTTGTTACTATCCAGGAAACCCAGTGCATCCGGTGGCAGATCATGTGTGTTATACGTCCTCGGGCGAGCAGGTTTTTATTGTTATTATTTTTAAAGTGCCTGTGCCCCATGTGTTGATTTGACATTTGTAACGTGTCCATGCTGGTACTGCAGTTCCTCTGCTGGCCACAATAAGGCACTCCACACCATCCCTGGGCTTTTAATCCAATCTAAGGGTGTTGTAGCATCTTCTGCTTGTGAGCAAATTAGGCAGCTTAGCAGAACCAGTGTTCCTTCATTTGGAAGCGCAAAGCGCCTTTACTGGGACATCGGTACTTAATCCTCACAGCGCTGATCATTACAGCTGATGAGGGAGAGAACGAGAGCACTCGGAAGGATCTCATGTGCACCGATATCTCCACCTGTAATCACAGATACAACGCCAGATGGATCTGACTGTTGTTTTTGTGGTCACGTTTTGTTAGAAGTACTGATTACTAATACTAATACTGGCTTGTGTAACACCAGCAGTTTGAGTTGAAGCTACTAATTGCGTTTTTCAAAATTAAATTTCTGTTTTAATTTGTTTTAATAAGAAATAAGAATTAGAATCATGTCAGCTCATTGACACAATATGCCAACCCTAAACTACCTAACCGTAAAAGTTGAACACAAGTCGGATATTTTGATCCAATGATTATACGAAACTTTTTTAGCGTAGACAGAAAATGACAGAAAACATTTGAGTACCTGTTTCATTTTCCTCTGATAAATTACTTATGAATAATAGATTATTGAAATGGTGTGCAATTAATTTTCTGTCAATCAACTGGTTATCTCAGAATTACTTAAAATGCATTATTAAGACATAAAGTGAGTGAATCTGTAAATGTTAGAAAGGGAACATTATGCAATCTGCAATCAGAAGGAAAACAGATAACAGGAAAAATGACCAAAAATGCTTTAAAACAAATAAGGCAACAAATGCATAAACAAAACCAATATAAAGTAATGCTTATTTTTACGTGGAAGCCACATAAATTAAAGATGTATCTGCTTGCGCAATATAGGAATATACATTTCATTTCTTTAAATAAGTACTGCTTATTTTCTGTTAAAGCCACATAAATTGAAACATTATTATGGCGCAAATCAGGTTGATGCGCGCATGTAAATCAAACATCCGCGAGCAAATCTCCGTCTCGCGCGAGATTTTTGCTCCATCGCGAAACGTGAACTTCCTCGCTCGCGAGGTTAGTCTCTGCTCGCGCTCGACGGTGTTTTCTACGCGCTCGCTGTTGTTCTTTTTGACATAAGGGGGCGGAGCCAGTCACTACATCTAATTGGTTACAAACCCCGACTTTGGATTTGCTGGAGTGATGCTATAGAGTGATGGTTGTAGCTGGTTGTCATTTACGGTCCACTACGATTACCGAAGGGGGGGCTTTGTTTTTTGACAACGTTTTATCTCATAATTTCAACTTTCTATCCCCTTTCTGTAGTGCGGAGATGGGCTTCTATAGTTGTGTGAATGCGTCACTCCAGCCAAACCAAAGACGGGGTTTGTAACCAATCAGGTGTAGAGACCATGGTGACTGGCTCCGCCCCCTCACTGTCAACAAGAAAAACAGCGAGCGCGTAGAAAACACCTTCGAGCGCGAGCAGAGACTAACCTCGCGAGCGAGGAAGTTCACGTTTCGCGAGGGAGCAAAAATCTCGCGCGAGACGGACTTTTGCTCGCGGATGTTGGTTTTATCAACCTGATTTGCGCTCTCGAATTTTGACAGTGATTTGACGCCATACATTATCTGCTAGACCACCAAAGTCGAAGGCTAACATCTTATGTCGAAAAAGCTCAATAATTAACACGCAATATCTCATTTATTTGATTTGTACAAAAAGTTGTGGTTTTACAAATGCAGGTTAGCAGTTAGCAGTTTACATTCTTTGTGCTAGCTAAGCTAACCAACTACCCCGTTATGCAAAGAAAACCATCTAGCCATTTTTACTTTATATTATTTATTTGATTCCTAAAAAAAATAACTGTAGAAATGGGGGGGGGGGGGTTCTGTTACGTCTTGACAAAACCATGTTAGCTGTTACTCTTAACACATTATTTTTGCTAAACTAACCCAACCAACTGTAAGTAGCCTTTTATTTACTGCCCATGTATTCTTATTATTAACTCCCTGCCAAAAAGAAAACAAGTATTTACATTGTACATCGTGTAGAATGTATATTACATTTCGGAAGTTGAATAGAACATCAGCTATGATCACCATATGAAGTCTTGAATTAGCCCTACTGCCTGTTTGGTGACCCCAGCTCTCTGTGTTCTATGGCGTCACACAGATTTGTGGTAAGCAGCCCCACCGACAGCCCTAACTGTAAGTCTACCGTGCTGACCAGAGATTTGTTGAATCTGTTGGCATTTCCCCGTGTTATAGGACGCAGAGTGATTACCGATAGGGATTACAGAGGGGCAGGTCACTATCAGCAGGCCGGCCACATGTTTCTCAGGCAAATCTCATTTTGATATCCATTCTTCCATGCTGTTTTATAAGCACAGTGGCTCGGCTCAATTAGCTTTTAGCTCACCGCATTCAAATATTCAACTGGATATTATGTTCAGTGCTGTAAAAATGTATTCTGACTAAAGTGAAAGATGACTTTCAGTTTTCTCTCATATTAAAGAATGTCTCCTGTTCATTATTTGTCTGTTTTTGTATCTCCGTTCTCTGCATTGCAAGGATTGACATAAAGTTAGCCCGTTCTTCCTAACAAGCTCCTTCCCTGTCTCTCTCCCTCTGCCACAACTGTCAACCTCCTTAACAAGGAGTACATATTCACAGCTGCTACTGCAGGAGAGCAGCCCAAATGAGGAGCGCCTCAATAAGATGAGAGGGCCGTTCCAGACAACAGGTGTGTGGGTGCATCGCTGCTCGCTCCCTGCTACCACACTTCATGTTTCCAGCCATATAAAAGACAGGTGCTCTTGATTTATTTTCCTTTTCTTTTTTTTTCGATCAATTACTAGTAACTGTATGGCAACTCTTACTGCTTAGGCGGGAGTATGACTAAGGATGGCTCATGCAAGTCTCACACTTACTCCCCCGCCCTTCCCCCCCCTTCCCCCGCGGTGGTAGCAATGCCTCTCCGCAGTGTATCTGTATCTGTTTGTTCATTCATAGGAAAAACATTAGTGACATGTAGATGAGTCATAGAGGCTTGTGTCTAGTCGGGCCGCGTTGGGAGTCAGGAACCCTTTCACCCCTTCCGCTCCTCGCCTCGAGGCACTACTCATTCCCCCGACCGGTCTCCCTAGTTACTCCAACGCGTACGCATACAAACACGTGGCATCTGTGTTTGTTCAAGTACCACG